CCCCAAAACCCCAAAACCCCAAAACCCCAAAACCCCACATTTCCAGTTTCTATCAGAATTGAGAAATTTTAGTAATTTTGAAATTTAATTGTAAAATGAAAGAAAGAAGGGTGGGTGGTTAGCCAGATGATTCAAAGACTAATTAGCTTTAACAAAAATAAAAATAGCAGATACTTTAGAAAAAACCAACTGATAACACAAAGCTTAATCCTTAAGTAATTTAAATCTGAATAACATAAACAGATGAGTTCTACACAAGCTCAGAAATTCTTCTAATAAAAAAAACCAATGATTGAAATTGATGTAATTCAGGATTAAATTTATTGTCTAAATAGGATGATGATGATAATTAATCTGTTTCAAGTTTATCCTCAACATCTAACAAGGAATAAGTTTAGCCTTCAGGAGGAAATGTAATCGTTGTTTGCAGAGCTAGACCTTTTAACAAAAAAGAGATCGAGATGGGAGTGCAACAGAGTGTAGAATTCGGTGGAGATAAAAAGACAATAACATTGAAACTTACTCAAGTATAATTTTTAAGTAATTTAGTATAAATTAGGACAAAGAGGGTGGATTTGGTACTAATAAATTCACATATGATCGAGTATTTGACATGAATTCAAATCAAAAGGAGGTCTATGACTTGGCTGCTAAGCCTATTATTGATAGTAAAAATCAGTAAACCTTTAATTACTGTAATTAGGTGTGCTTGAGGGATTTAATGGTACTATTTTTGCATATGGGCAAACATCATCTGGTAAAACGCACACCATGCAAGGCCCAGACATCGAAAACTTAGAGATGCAAGGTATCATACCTAGAATGGTTCGAACTGTATTCAATAGAATTGAGACTGCTAGTGAAAATATGGAATTTACAGTGAAGTTATCAATGATAGAAATTTACATGGAAAAGATAAAGGATTTACTAGATCCCTCAAAAGATAACCTTAAAATACATGAAGATAAGACTAAGGGAGTTTATATAGCCGATGTAACAGAGACTTATGTATCTGAAGAGCTAGAAGTATAGGAAATAATGAAGCTAGGAAATTCGAATAGATCAATAAGTGCTACTCTAATGAATGCTGAATCTTCCAGATCTCATTCCATATTTATTCTAACAGTTACCTAGAATAATCTTGAAGATCTTTCCTGCAAGACTGGTAAATTATATTTAGTTGATCTTGCTGGTTCAGAAAAAATTTCAAAAACAGGGTAATTAAGAAATCAATTTATTTATTTATAGGGCTGTTGGTTAGACATTAGATGAAGCAAAGATGATAAATAAATCCCTTACTACCTTAGGAAAAGTTATTACATCTTTGACTGATAAAAAATCAAGTCACATTCCATATAGAGAATCTAAATTAACAAGAATTCTTCAAGAATCCCTTGGAGGAAATTCAAGAACATGTTTGATTATCACTTGCAGTCCTCACCCATATAATGAAAATGAAACTTTGTCCACTCTAAGATTTGGTTAAAGAGCAAGAAATATCAAGAATCAACCTAAGATGAATAAAGAATATACTGTTCCTGAATTGAAAAGGCTTCTTGAAAAAGCAGAGGCTGATTTAGACATACAAAAGTGTAAAGTAAAAGCACTTGAAGGAATTATTATGGAATTGGGGGGGAATTTACCAAAGGATGAGGAAATGGCAATTATAGCTGAGAGATAACGTGAAGAGATGGAGAGGATGATGGAAAAACTAGAGCAGCAATAATAGCCAATTGAAGAAGAAACAAAGGAGGATGATGTATCTACTGAGTAATCACAAGCAGACTAATAATAGCAGAATTAGATGATAAACTCAGAGTTATTACAGGATAAAATTGATTAGATAGAAATCCTAGAATCTTAATTGATGAGGGAAAGAGAAAAGCTAAGGAGCTTTGAGAAGTAATATGCCGACTTAAACGAAGAATACACAATCTAAGTAGCAAAGTACAATTAACTCTTGATTGATAAAGACTCCATAGCCCAGAAAAACAAAGATTATATCTATAAAATGCAAATGCTTAATGAGAAATTGTAGGATAAGGATGAAAAAATTGAATAATAGGGTTAAAAGGTTGAAATTTTATCTTAAGAGAATCAGTAGATGAAAGAATCTTATGATAAGATAGTATCTAAATTAGCGTATATACAGGAAAACCATATTTTAATACCAAAAGATGGTAAAAGATAATCTCTAGAGGATAATAAGCAAAGCTCAGTAGCAGATGAAGAATACCTTAACAACCTTCAGGAAGAAGTAAGAAAGCTTCATTACTAACTCAAATAAAAAGATATGATAGTTGAAAAGCTAAAATAAGCTCTGATTGAGTACTAAGACCAAGTTCCAGATCAAAATGCATTCAATGAGGAAAATAATGGTTCAATGTCGATGAGAAGATTGCATTCATTACTGGATAAAGATGAAACTATGGAGAAGGATACAAAATTATACGAATCATAAGTCCTAAAAATGCTATTATCAGATGAAAGTCACATTTTCAATGAGGAAAAGCTAAAGAATCTTAGCTAGGGTGTTCTTTTTAATACAAAGGACTTAAAAACAATTTTTAATCACTAGAATGATTTGAAAACTAAAATTCTAAATTTTGAAGAATCCTCAAAAGAACTGCTATAATAAATTGAGTCCTATAAAACAGAATTAAAAGCTTAGATGGAAAGAGAAATGCCAAATATAGAGGAAATCACTGCTAAAATAGTTAAAGAAAAAGTGAATGAGGAAAAAAAGAAATTTGATTATGAAAGAGAGCAAATGATAAGAGATCTCTAGAATAGAGTTGAAAAGGTATTAAGGCTTGAAATGGAGTTAGATGAAGTAAAAGATGCTTATAGAGCTCTTGAATCTTCACTTTCAAGAGATGAATAGTAATATAAACAGAGAGCATTAAAACTTGAGAAAAGCTTTGAACAAATTACTGCAATGTACCAGTAGGTTATAAGCGAGAAATCTATTTTGAAAGTTGACTTGCAAGTATCAGAGAAAAAAATGCAAAGAAAAGAGGAAAAAATAACTTAACTTGAAAAAAGTTTAGCCATATCGAGGGAGAAGGTAATCTTACTTTTTTTAACAATGAATTTTAGTAACAATAATTATAAACAATTGTGTAACATCTAAGGACAGAGTTCTTAAAACTGTAGCAATAGTAGATGTAATCTCTAGGGCCTGCTGGAGGGATGTATGAATAAGACGGAGGTTTTAAAGGAGTAAGCAAGATAGCTAAGCCAATTAGAGGTGGAGGAGGTAAGAGATTAGTCACTCCAAGAAGTACTTTATAACCAGCTTAAATTCAGCAAAACTAGCAATTAAACTACGAGCTTCTTAGAGAAAGACCACGCTGATCATTAAATATGCGTTAGAGTTTAAAATAATTTTTTACATTTCACTAATAAAAATGCTATTTTTACTAAGTGGGGTTTTGGGGTTTTGGGG